GGGGGAAGACTTCATGGTTGCGTGCATCAATAGGTTTTACATCTCCGATAGACTCAAAGGTCTAAATTTGATATTAATGTACACAAATATCTAAAAAATATAGTATAACAGATTCAAATTATAAGTAAATTATAGTCAACATTGTAGTTACAAAGTGAATGCCTTCTTGGGGTGGGGTTGGGAGGACTAACTTTTTTGNTCTAAAAAATATAGTATAACAGATTCAAATTATAAGTAAATTATAGTCAACATTGTAGTTACAAAGTGAATGCCTTCTTGGGGTGGGGTTGGGAGGACTAACTTTTTTGTTTTAGAGTCTGGTTTAAGTTGCCAAGTTGACAAAATAAAAAATAAGTCTTGATTAAATTACTCCCGGCTCAAAAAGCATGAAAAAATAAAATAAAAGGTCTTTTTGTATGTCGCCCCTCGAAAAATTTTAAAATTTTTATTTTATACCTTCAAATGTTAAATTTTTTATATTGTACTCTTAATATATCAAAAGTGTTACAATATAATATTTCTGTTAACTTTTATTATTTTTTTCGTCAAGAGTTAACCTATTGACACTGATGAAAAACTAACAAAAAGTTAATAGAAAAATCACATTATAATATTTTTGATATATAGAAGGTACAATGTCAAAAATTTAATTTTTGAGAGTATAAAATAAAAATTTTAAAAATTTCAAGGTATAAAGTGCGATTCAGCCTAAAATAAAACAATACAGTTTCGTCTCATATAAACATCACTGCATAGTCAACATTGTAGTTTGAGGTTTCAGCCATGGCCAACTACACCATTCTCTTCCTCATTTTGCTTATCTCCACCATTCTTCTCCGAGTCCTCTTCAAGAGTCGAAAGCCTCCCCTTCCACCGAGTCCGACAGCCCTTCCGATCATCGGTCACCTCCACCTTCTTGCTCCGATACCTCACCTAGCTCTTCACAAGCTCTCAAAACGTTATGGACCCCTAATTCACATCTTCCTTGGCTCTGTCCCTTGTGTTGTGGCTTCCTCACCTGAAATGGCCAAAGAGGTCCTCAAAACCAATGAATCTTCCTTTTCGAACCGACCCTCAGTTGCTGCTATTGACTACATAAATTATGGCTTACAAGATTTTGCCTTTGGCCCTTGTGGACCTTACTGGAAGTTCATGAAGAAACTATGCATATCGGAACTTCTTGGTGGTCGAACACTTGATCTTCTCCATCCTGTTAGACGCGATGAGATTCAACGTTTTATCAAATTATTATCGAAAAAAGCCACAGCTGGTGAGTCAGTTGATGTTGGAGGAGAGCTTATAAAGCTGGCAAACAATGTGATATCAAGAATGTTAATGAGCAAGAGATGTTCTGAGAATGAGGATGATGCTAGTCAGATTAGGAAGTTAATGCAAGAGATAAAGGAACTCCCGGGAAAGTTTAATTTGTTTGAATACATATGGTTTTGTAAGTGTTTGAGTTTGCAAGGATTCAGAAAACGGCTCAGGAATGTTCGAGACAATTACCATGACATGATGGAGAGGATCATAAGGGAACATCAAGAGGCAAGGAGGAAGTGGAAAGAAAGTGGTGGTGCAAGTGATGTGGTTAAAGATTTGCTTCATATTTTACTTGACATTTCAGAAGATCAGAGCTCAGAGATGAGACTCACCCAAGAGGACATCAAGGCCTTCATCCTGGTAATCTATCATCTTTGAAAATTTATAGTTCATTGACGCAATTTATAAGCAAACAAAACAAGGATATGTCACTGAACTAGACTGATTTCTGACTCGAGCTCGTAAACACCGTGTCACAATGAAATAACGTTATCCTTATATTCATTAATATTTTTGAGAACACAATCAGGCTAATAGATGATCATTGCTTTTCAAAATAGTAAAATTCATCTCAATTGTCAGTAGTGGTATTAGTTGATCAGTGATTGAAGTACCTGAGCCAAGTAGTTTTTCAATTTCAAAGAAGCAAAATTGAAGATCATGGTGAAATATTAGGCCCAATTTATTCTCTTGTTATAAGAAAATGCAAATTAGATGTGTTTTGATGTAACCATGAGTTAGTTTTGCAGGCCAAAGTTATGAAATTTAGAATTTGAGACCAATTTTATATTTATTCCAACGCATAGTCAAGCATTATTTATGTTGTTCAAACGATTAACATTTTATTATGTAGACTGAGACAATTGGTGCAATTGCTTTAAACAAGTTTGGAGAAAATTATGATCCAATTTAAAGGAGACTCTGATTCTTTCGACATACAGGATGTATTTGCTGCTGCGACGGACACATCTGCCATTACAATTGAGTGGGCACTGGCAGAGTTGATCAACCATCCATGTATAATGGAGAAAGCACAACAAGAGATTGATTCTGTTGTTGGAAAGAAGACACTAGTAGAGGAATCAGATATTCCAAATCTTCCCTACCTTCAAGCCATTGTCAAGGAAACATTAAGGCTTCACCCTGCTGGCCCTCTAATCATTAGGGAGTCAACTGAAGATTGCACCATCTCGGGTTATCGGATTCCGGCAAAGACCAGACTCTTCGTCAATTTGTGGGCTATCGGACGAGACCCGAACTACTGGAAAAACCCACTTGAGTTTCGACCAGAGAGGTTTGTTAATGACGAAGAGGATGGAAAGAGCAAGTTTGATGTGAGGGGACAACATTTTCATCTGTTGCCGTTCGGGAGTGGCCGGAGAGGATGCCCTGGAATTTCACTAGCGTTACAGGTGGTTCAAACAAGCCTTGCTGCTATGCTTCAGTGCTTTGAATGGAAGGTTGGTGTTGGAGGAAATGATACTGTGGACATGGAAGAAGGACCTGGTTTCACAGTTCCAAGGGCTCATTCATTAGTTTGTGTTCCAATGCCAAGGCTCAATCTGTTTCCGTCAAAACTAGCCGACCTAATTCATTAGAGCCATTAGATTAGTTTGTATTAAATTGAACTACTTTTGGTTTTGACAATAAATCTGCTTAGAAAAGTTTGAGGGTAAATGTTCTTTATTTGTTCAAGTCTTTAAACTGAGACATCTTGAGCTCGAATCTTGACAACTCATTTGTGTCACGCCATAAGAGATTTATCCGTCATGAATTCTCTAGTACTTACGTGAATAATCTGTCTTTGACAGGACTGAAAAAATGATTAATCGAGGTGCATGTAATTTGACTCAAACACCCCTGACCATTGGAAAAAAAAAAAGTCTCTAACTTTAAATGTGCTTCAATAAGTCTCCCTTCCAAGTTCTTGAACAAACATCATGTTAATATAACATGTTGTAGTCTTATAACATGTCGTAATTGTAAGAATAATTTTAACCAAACAAACATGAGTTAAATCTGTAAAAGATAAGCCAGCACATCCAGTTGAAGAGCTCAAATATGCAATCCGTTGAGTCCAGGAATGCAATTAAAAGACAAAAACCATAACATTATAGCCAACTTGGTCACAGTTGACCCCTACATTTAGCACATGATATTCATTGGATGTTTTCCCAAAAAATTATTGATGGATTTGGATACAAAGACTTAATGGATAAATGGCGAGGTAGAGTTAAGGAACTTGATCGTTTCAATTAATTTCTCAATGACTTGAAGCAAATTAGATGAAAATTTTAAATCTAACTTCTACCCTAATTTCTCGGAAAATAAATATCATCGAATAAAAGTAAATGTACATGTGTACAAAAGCAGAGTTGAGTAACTACAAGCATTAACAAGAGCAACAAAAATCAACAAATCTGTAGGAGGCATAGGCGGAGGGAGGTAGTGGCAAGAGTGGGCACGTGCTCCCCTCAAATTTTTTTTTTTATTAGTTAGATATATGTATTATATATTTATACATATATATTATGTGTGTCCCCTCATTTATATTAGACCCACATTATTTACCCAAAATAATTAATAAATTAAGTCCATTTAAAACAAAAAAAATTTAACTCACTATTATCTATCCAAACTTATTAAAAAATTAAATATTTGACCTATCACAATCCACTCAAACCTATTAAAAAAATAAAACTTTTAGCCCGACATTAAAAACAAAATTTTTGGTCCAACATTAAAAACAAAAATTTTAGTCTACCATCAGTAAAAAATAAAACTTTTGACTCACTTGACTGAAACCTATCCGAATGCCTAAGGTGGAGACCTGGGCGTTTGCGGAGGAGAGTTGGGCGCCTGCGGAGGAGACCTAGGCGCCTGTGGATGGCCTTGCATGCTTCTCTACTAATGTAACTCGTGGAACCTAATGAACTTGACTGAGTGTAAACTCCTTTGGGCTTGGTTAGCTAGACCTCTTAGAGTTGAGCCCTTGGGTTTGACTCATCAACTCTAATCATATAAAAATACTAGTTATTGTCTGTACTTGAAGATACAAAGTAATAAAAAAATGATAAATAATAAACATATTTGTATTCATATCTAAAATCAAATCACAAACATAGCGGAGAGATAAATGAATTTAAACATTAGTTGTAGTGGGGGTGAGAGGTTGTGGACGGCAGTTGTAATGGTAGGAGAAGGTGATGTTGTGGTGGGTGGCAATGACTGTGGTGGCGACGGCGACGATGGTGGTGG